TGCTATTTGTGGCTATCATGAAAGGTGATGCTTCTCTGATTTCCCTCTCTGCTTCTTTATCCTGTATGTATAGGAGAGCAACTGATTTTTTGGAGTTGATCTTGTATCCTGCCACATTACTAAAGGTGTGTATCAGCTGTAGGAGTTCTTTGGTAGAGTTTTTGGGGTCGCTTATGTACACTATCATATCATCTGCAAATAACGAAAGCTTAACTTCTTCCTTTCCAATTCGAATCCCCTTGATTCCCTTATGGTGTCTTATTGCTATTGCTAGAACTTCAAGCACTAATTGAAGAGGTATGGAGAGAGTGGACAGCCTTGTCGTGTTCCTGATTTTAGTGGACTGGCTGATGAATATCTTGCATATCACCAAAGAACCTTCATCTTGCGATGGATGAAGATAGAGACTGAGACCCACATTGGAGCACTGGACTTAGCTCCCAAGGTCTAAATGAGGAGCAGAAGGAGGGAGAACATGAGCAAGGAAGTCAAGATCACGAGGGGTGCATCCACCCATTGAGACAGTGGGACTGATCTAATGGGAGCTCACCAAGGCCAGTTGGACTGGGACTGATGGAGCATGTGATCAAATTGAACACTCTGAATGTGGCTGGCAATGAAGGCTGACTGAGAAACCAAGGACAAAGGCACTGGGTTCTGATTCTACTGCATGGACTGACTTTGTGGGAGCCTGGTTTGTTTGGAGGCTCACCTTTATAGACCTGGATGGAGCAGGGAGGACCTTGGACTTCCCATGGGGCAGGGAACCCTGACTGCTCTTAGGACTAGAGAGGGACAGGGAGGTGGGGAGGGGGAGGGAAAAGGGAGGAAGGGAGGAGGTGGAAATTTGTAATAAATAAATAAATAAATAAATAAATTCAAAAATATATAGTTTAATGTAAAAGTGTATTATTTCTATTATTAGTAGCAATGCTTTTCTTCCTTTATTTTTATTTTTGTTTTATTTTATACTTTAATATAACCATCTTTTCAACACAGTAATTTTATTAATTCTTGGGTAATTTCACATCATACAGGCCAATCACACTCACCTTCCAATTCTTCCTGTGACCTCCCCTCACAACAAAACAACAATCAAAAGGAAAACCCGCAAATCCAATTTGTGTTATCTATATAGTCACCAGAGTGTGGCCAAGCTCTCAGTGGCCTGCCCTTGAAAACAGAGTCTTTCCCTTCCCGCTCCCCTGCTGGAAGTCATCAACTGTGGAAAGCTAACTGCAGCATCCTTACCATACATTTTAATTATATTCCATTATTTCTCTCACTATCTTCCCATTCAACTCTTCCCATTCTCCCCTAGACTGAGATCCATGGCCTCTTTTATCTTTATTATTGTTGTTGTTTGTGGTGTGGTGGTGTGCGTGCATGTGTGTGTGTGAGCATGTGTATGTGTGTGTCCCTGCAGAATCCATTCAGTGTTATCTTCTGTATGTGTATGATTGTGGGGCTGACCACTTGGTACTAGGTGACCATGATCAATTAGGAAGCTCATCCCTGAGGAAGATTCTCTCTTCAGTTATTAATTGCTTATAACTTTCCATCTAGGAGTAGGGTTTGAGGAAAATTCACCTAACCACACTGAAATGTCAACTGATGTTGAAACTGTTCATGTTTCATTTATACATATTGATGAGATTTCATGGACACAGCATCCTGTTATATTTAGAAGACTGAATTTTCCAGAAGACCCCCTACACAGTTCCAGCTGTACTGGAACTCACTATGTAGATCAGTCTGGGCTTGAACTCACAGAGATCTGTCTACCTCTGCCTCTGAGTTGTGGGACTTAAGGCAAGTGCCACCACACCTGGCCATTGATTTTTTTGAGAAAGGGTCTCAATATGTAGCCCTGACCTAGAACTTGCTATGTAGACCAGGCTAGCTCTAAGCTTGTGGCACTCCTCCTGCCTTTGCTTACTGAGTCCTGGGATACCGGGTGTGCATCAGCTTGCCTAGTACAAAATACCTTTTTGTTCAAACACTAAGGCCTGGTTACAGGGATAAGACATAAAACACGGTTGTCAGAGGAACTCTGTGAATGAAAAGCTCTACATGCAGCAGGATGTGTTGCAGTTTAGTGGGTTTCCATCCCACATCACAATGGTCTTAGGTTGTGTTTTTAATTTTAAGCCAAACACCAGACAGTAATATAATTTCCCACATAGCCAGGAATGACATGCAAAATGCTGCAACCCTGATAATTGAGGATCTGGGGCAAGATTCCAAGAACTTTGCTGTATCTCTCCAAAATATCACCATTACTGGTTACTACACAGCATTTTTACATGCCTTAAGTTATTTTCTCAAAACAACCACACATAAAACACCTATTCATTTCAATCTAGGCATAATTGATTCTTCTACTTCTCTATTTTAATTATCTTTCTAAAATCATAAATATCAAATTACCGTTATACTTATTAACTTTAAGAGTTTTCTTTTGTGCGCTAGTGATGTATTCCAGTTGGTAGAGAACTTACCCAGCCTTTATGCCTGCATTAAATACCTAATACATAACCCACACTTGGAAGGTAGGGACAGGAGAATCAGAAGTTCACTGTCATCCTTCCTTCCATCCTCATCTACACAATGAGATCAAGACCAGCATGAGATACAGAAGACACTGTATCAAAAATGAGTTCTCCTTTGTGCCTCTTTAAATTTATACTAAATACTTCTTTAAAAGTCAATGGAAGTATATATAAAATAAAATTATATATGATGAGTCTAGCAAAAAATATTCATTAATATGTCACACTAAGCAATATGAGAAAATTAAAAGCATATTGAAATAAATTAAAATGATTCCATTCACCATTCTTACACCCCTTAATGATCTGGCCAGTGCACAGTCTGTGCCACAACAATGGCAGCTCTGTAAACCAGCTCTCCTTTGCTTGGGAGAATGACTGTTGAGAAGGAAGTTCTGTCCAGGACTTACTAGGTGTTATCCACTTCTCATTTCTCTTCTAGGAAGACCACAATTATTGTGGTCCCTTCTCAGTATGGGCAATAATCAGTTCTGACCAGTAGGACACAGTGAGAAATGGAACTCACAAATTCCAAGCCTGGACACTAAATACTGCAGATGATCTTTGATGTTGTGTCCTTTCTCTTTGCCTGTGAGAGGGCGTAGGTTTAGAGAACCGCAAAAAGTAATGAGTGCTAGTCCAGGTTCCAAGGGAGCACTGAATCAGCAGGAAATGAACTTGCAAGTCTTGAAGTCGATGCGAAATGGGGATTATCATCATCATCATTATTATCAAAGGTTGGGAGAAAATGACTCCGGTGCTGACCTTAACAACATCAAATTTTGTATCTTGACTTTAAGTTATTCAACAATATTTTCAACAAAAAATTTCAAAAGACATAATGGAACCTGATGTACAAACTCAGTCAACCAATATCTAGTCTCTAGAGGCATCCATTTCAGTTATATGTAAAAGGCAGGAAAAAAATTTCCTCCAAGGTATCTTAATATTGACCTTAACTTGTCAGATCAAGGAAAATAGGTTGTCCTAGCAAAGAATCATTTTTCTATGCAGGCGTAAGAAATAACAGCTACAATACTTAAAACAAGTCTCCAAAATTGATTTCCAGAAAGTATTTTTTAAAAGCAAAGTTCTTCAAATACACAGTCAAATCAAATTTCAATGATAGTTTTGACAATCAAATAAAAATTCAACAGTTTAAGCATATCAGTCTTATCTAGAATCATTAAAATACAAAGAAGTGGAAAAATTCACACTGATACCAACACATTTATCGTGCACATATATACAAAAATTAGGATTATTTTTGGATCAATGCTTGCTTTGGTAGTAAATTAGAGAGACTGCATCTTAAAGAATAATGTGTGTGCCTCTGGACAGGCAGAATGTGTGTCAGTACTCTAAGGCAAGAGAACTGTATAGGGTTTTCAAAAAAAACGGATTTAGATGAGGAAGGGGGGAAGAAAGAGAGATAAAAAGAGAGAGAGATGAGAGAGGGGAGAACAAGGAATACATGATAGTTAGTGTATGTTCTCAGTCCTATAACCGAAAGATGACAATCATTTCTCAGGCTGTCGGGAGGATTAGGAAATACCACACAAATCAAGTGAGAAACAAGGCCTTGACCAACAACAAATTCGAATAAATATTAATTACTATTGCTAATGTTCTGTTTTCTTTACTTATATAATAAAAATATTATTAGGTGATTTATATGATACCTTTGAATTCTTATATTCTGAGTCTATAACTGTCCCTTGAAGTTAAATTGCCAGTTGACAAATGAAAATCCTAATACCCTTACATTTTAAGTGATGATTTATGAAAAAAAATCTATAAAAGTCTGATCTACTGTTGAGAATAGATCACATAATAATGAGGGATTTCCATTATTTAACATTCCAATGTGGGGTGGCTTGATGTATTCATGTTCTCTCATGACTTAAACTCTCATTTTAACATAGACTCTAACAAGATAATTGGAAGCAGACACTTAAATAAAACGATGTAGGTATTTTGGGCATTCTAAAGTACTAAGGAATTATTTCACGTATAAAACTTGAATATGGGTAGAAAGGATATACAAGCAGTCCTTCTGGGCAGTGCAAAATGGAGTATATTCTGGGCTTATAAACCAACAGAAACATTGCCTTTTCAGCTTAAAGCAAGCACTTTGGCTAGCTATGGAAATGGTGAGAAATAATTCCAACATTATATGGCATTCAATCTAAACTGAACAGGAAATGATCCACTTGAATTCTTGATGAAACGGCAAATCATCCCACTAAATATCCTATCAAGACTCAAAATGATTAAAAATCATTAAAAATGCAATTATAATTATGCTTTTGATTGATTTAAACTGAATATATAGTAATAATAATAATAATAAAAGAGTTTTAATGTGTGGACATGGTCAAGGTGAAGTATATGGTAATAAGGAACTATATTCTTATTCCAGAAATCAGCTTACACTAAGAACCTTACCTCCTGCATACATGACAGCCAGCATGATGGATGATATCCATGCAATTTCACTGTAGCTAGCGTTGAATATTGTCTGAATATCTTTGAAGAATACTGTGACAGCTTTGGGGAAGGCATATGAAAATCCAATGGAGATAAAGGATGCGCAAACTACTACCCAACCCCACCCTCCATCTGGAGGAAGGGGGTGTGGAGGAGGAGGAGCACTCTCCGATGGCATTTCTGCACCTCTGCTGGAGACTAGAGCAACCTATTGAAAAAGAAACAACAACGGTTCATGTTATAAGTCTGTGTTTTGTATCTCCCTTGAAAGTTGCTGACATAGAATTTTCATTTTAACTACAATATAATTTTATTAATACATTTGGTATTATTGTGATTGGAAAATTATAAGAAATTCAAAACAGAATGATATATAAAGCCTTGATTATTAAGAGGAAAAATCTGAAAATGATGATGTGGGAAGTCTTTCTGTATATGTGTTGCTTTTATTGGTTAATGAGTAAAGACACTGCCTTTTTCTGTGATAGGGCAGAGTAGAGCTAGGCTGGAAAACTAAACTGAATGCTGGGAGAAAGAAGATGGAGTCATGGAAGCCATGTAGCCGCCACCAGAGACAGAAGTGATGGAACCTTGCTGGTAAGCCATAGCCATGTGGCAATACACAGATTAATGGAGATGGGTTAGTTTAGGATGTAAGAGTTAGCCAATAAGAAACTAGAGCTAATAGGCCAAGCAGTGATTTAATTAATACAGTTTCTGTGTAGTTATTTTGGTTCTGGGCAGCTGGAAATGAACAAGCAGCCTCCCCATACAAACACTTATGTATGGGAAGAAAACATTTGAAAGTGAAGAATCCAGATACAACCTGAAGTGCAAACTAAACAAAAATAAACACTATTTCAAACTTACTTGGTAGTATAGAGGAAATCACCTACTACACTTCAGGAAAGAACACTTTCTTCTGTGCACGCACTGCGTGTGTGCACACACCTCCTTGTAGGTGTGTTGTCAGGGGTTGATATATGGTATTTTCCACAATTTTTCTCCACTTATTTTTTCAAAAAACAGTCTCTCATGGTATTAGGAAGTTTCTGATTTGGGCTACTATTTGAAGCAAAAGCTCCAAGAATTCTTCTTCCTCAGTATTGTAGCTATAGGCATTGTTTTTTTGTTTGTTCATTTGTTTATAATATGGACTCTGTAGGACTCAACTCAGGTGCTCACAATTTTGTGGCAAGCACTTAACAACTGAGCCACCACCAAGCCATAAGAATAATATCTTAATGTAAAATGTTAATGTTGCCTTTCCAAAATTAATGCTGCCAACAGGCTTACAAATATGTCACTCTGCCTTTCTGTCTGTCTCTCTCTTCATTGCCATGAAATTCTAACAGCTTCGTGGGTATATGTTCTTGTTTGTTCAGGGAGTGGAGAAAAGGAACTTTAATGTGTATACACCTAAGAACATTTAAATACTCTCCCACGGAAGGTGAAGATGCACAGTTTAATATGGAAGAAATTACAGACAGTGAAAACCTTGCCTCCACATCCTCTCAGGGTACAGAGATGTTGCATTGCAATGCAGAAGAAAGAGCCACATCCCTGTGTGCAAGAGTATTTATTTGTGCCGTATGTTTTCCAAACTCAGCCCATGGATAAGTTTATTTCCTACTTTTGTAAATGTATACGTAGTTTTCACACTCACTCCCTTGCAAACACACACACACACACACACACACACACACACACACACACAGAGAGAGAAAGTATATAAGCTACAAAGAATGTTTTCATGCTATTATTCAGTGTGGAATGACAACTCAACTGTCTTCAATTTAACCCAAATTTAACTCAAATCCTTATGCAATGTTCATGACTCTCTTCTCCCTCCCTCCCCTTCCTTCCCTTCTCTTCTCCCATCCCTCCCTCTCCCTCTCCCATGCCCTCCCCCACCTCTCTCTCTCTCTCTCTCTCTCTCTCTCTCTCTCTCTCTCTCTCAAGACCACCTAAGAAGTACCGTCATAGCAGGCTCAGAGCACACAGTCAGTACTGTGTAGTGCAAAGCCCACTGTAAAAAGAGCTCTGCACCCACAGATTTCACACAGCTCTGAGCTTTGAGCACCCCTCTGTGAGCACCAACTTCTTTCTTGTCTCCAACCCTAAGAAAACACCCTTCTATTCTTGATGTCTGTGACTTCACATATGTTTTTTTATTCATTTTAACATTCAATAAAATGAGACCCTTTAATATTTTTTATGGGGTTGCATGTATAGAAATTTAGTCTAATGTCCTCTGATTCCTCACATAGTCTCACAAAGGTGACTGCAACCCACAAGCGTTTGAATGGAATCAATAATAGCGTTTTATCAAGTTTAATTATAAGATAAGGGCCTTCAAGATTTTATTGTAAAGGACATAAAGACCATAAGGTTTCCTGGCTACAGGGTCTGTACTGAGTGTTTATCTAAAGTGAATTTTAATGTCATTGATGACAATGACACGATTGAGCATGGTTTTTCAATGAAGCTTTCTTTACAAAGTAGTCTGATAGCAGCGGTTTAATGATGTCTTCAACAGACATTAGAGAAGAAAATCCAGAAGAGAAAGCACTGTCTAACTGTTATTATTAACAATTGTACATATTTATTTTCTTTATTGTTCTATATGAATATACACCTGATTAATTTAAATGATAATGTAATTCCATGAATCACAGTGACACACTCTAATTTTATAAGTTATTTTATTATTTTTATTAGTTGTCATAGAATTTTTGTAACTACACAAGTTTGAGACAATATAGAAAATACATAAGGAATAAATCATAATCTTAAAATATTCATAAAAGTTCCACTTTTGATTGACACTATGGTTAATAGAAAATTTATATATTATACAGTATTGTTCTTAGCTCTATATTCTATATGTTACTTAGTCATATGTTGATAATTTTTAAAACAATCTCAAATTACAATTACAAAGAACTTAGGAAATGAATGATAAATATGGCTTTAATTCTATTTGAGATACTAAGTGGTAAGAAATCAGTAGAGCAGAATTTTTGAATGGTATTGACAAGGGCCAATTCTTTCAGTCCTTTAATATCCACAAGAAGACAGAGTAGAATAGTAAGTTATTCCAAACTACATAGAGAGAGGAGACAGGGAGGAAGTGGGGGCTCAATCCAAGCACAAAAATGACATGAACTTTAGAGTCAGCAAGATAAACCTTAGCAGGTAAAGGTTTGTGTGTCCAGTTCTGTTAACCTGAGTTCAATCCTAGGGACCGATCTGGTAGAAGCTGAGAACTAAGACCTGTATATTGGCCTCTGACCTTCACAAGTGCAGCACAGCATGCACACGTATGTACATTCATGTGCACATACACACACATACACACAAATTTTATACTTTTGATTGTGAGCTGAGCCTTGTGCTGCTGTGTCTATCTATGTTTCTTGTGCTTTATTCAGCTGTGGCTCTTTGTTTTTTCTCTTTGTTTGTTCTGTCCTGTTCAGCTTTGCCTGAATTTACTTTATTTCTTATTTTTTAAGATGCTTGTTTGTTTTCTAATTAAAAAGACCAAGAAAGGGAGTGGATTTAAGTGAAGGAGGTGGTAAGTAAATTGGGAATATTTGGGGAAAGGGGAATCATAATCAGCATACGGTATAAAAAATATATTTTAAATTTAAAAATATAATTAACTATTTTTAAAAAATTACGATCTTTCAAATTGTGAATCTCTTATTCTACTGACCTAAATGCATAATAATCAAATAATCCTAATTACTATTACAGTAAGCAAAAATGATATAAATAAAGGGATATACCTTAGAAAATTCGGAATCCTTGTCATTGCTAAATAAATTCTTATTATCTCCAGTAAGCATTTATTAATCAATTTAGTTTCCACAGAAATCCTTTAATATTTTATTTTTAAAATGAGACAAATTTCAGAAATATTAAGAAACTTGGCCTGAGGAATATGTGAACAAATGGCTATTATTAATAACTGGTGCTGAAGTAGTATACAAAGGCTATGTACTTGGGAAGTAAAATAAGACAAAGAAAAACCACTAGATATTTTTATTATATTCTGTGTGTCTAAACGTCCTTAAGGATTGAAGCAGTCAAGAGCTCTTAATTTCCAAAACATTAATAGCCTGAAAATTTCTCTCCATAGAAATTGTGTGATTTGACCTTAAGCATCCCCCAGTGTTGTGGTACTAAAAGGGTTATGTACCGGCCTTTGGTGCTGTTGGGAAATAGTTGGACCTTTTAGTGATGGAGCCCAGGAGAAAAAAGTTAGGTTCCTGGGGTGTGCTTTTGTTGAGAACTCTGGGACTGTGAACTTTTCTCTCTTTCGTTGTGGCTCCCATCACGGTTATCTTTCGTATAACACACCACATGCTCCCTAACACGGTGTTTTCACAGGACAGACACAGGGAGTTCAGGAGCATCAAGAGATCAGCCAATGTCACAGATCAGAGAAAGCATAAAGTCTCACCAGGGCCCCTATCCAAGGACACAGAGGTGGATGGCTTGCTGCAGGAGCCACTGGCAGGTGCTGCAAAAAGGAGAGGGGATTCTGTGGTGCGCCCAGCATCAGGGAGCTCCTGAGGGGGACTTCTGGGGGCATGCAATTGAAGTTGGTGGCTGAGAAAAGGAGAGGGGATTTCTGGGGTGTGTGGAGCATCAGGGAGCTCCTGAGGGGGATTTCTGGAGGCATGCAACTGAAGTTGGCTTTTCAATCATCTGTATTCCTGCAAGTCAACCCCAAAATCCCAATCGTTCAACTACTTGGACTTTGCTGAGATTGTAACTTTGGTCTGTAGGGGGGTCTCCGTCCAGGAGTGAGCAGTTGTGTGTGTGTGTGTGTGTGTGTGTGTGTGTGTGTGCGCTTGCGCACACCTGCAATGTCTCCCTGGGGAGAAAAAGTCTCTCACACAACAAATCTACAAAAATGTCAAAGAAATCAACAACGAGATAGGAGGTTGAGACAAATGATGCGTGTAAAGTGGGTATTGGTTTCTAATGAAAAACACTTCTTTTAGGTTACAAGTTAGTAAGTTAGTTAGTAAAATTGCCACTTTTGTCAAGAATTACTTTAAAAAGTTTTATATATTTACAGTATGCTATTGTCTTCTTTAATTGTTTCTTGTTGGGCACAGTATTAATTATCTCTCCTAACTCTTCATTTATTAGGTTTTAATATTATGGTGATCAAGTTACAACATTTGAGTACCAAACAGAGTGTCTTTAGAAATGCAAAATACTTAAAGAAAGCAGAGGGAAGGATGGAATGTAAACGTTGCTTAAATAAGTACAAGACAGCAAATGGCCTTAAAGGTGGTCTTAAGAATCTGAGCTCATGACAACATTTTTAAACTAAATGGTCATTGTTACCAATTTCCTTCTTGCTTGAAAAAAAAAAAAAACACTGGGGGAAGCTGCTATGTAGCAAACAGCTTTTTCTTGTAGGAGTAAAGACTTGGCCCTGTAATTTTCCAGAGTACAGAATGGAAACGAAACCATCTTTCACTACTAATCCATGAATTCAAATTGCAATCTTTATCACACTTGATATGGTAAACACTTAGAAATAAAATTTCATGATTCATTTCCCCGTCATTTTTAAAGGCATAACTATGCACACCCACCCTCCAGGTAAGGACACCAGACTCATCCCTTCCCCACCAGCTCTGCTTGCTCCCACAACCTGCCTGAGGGCCACGTGTTCCTTTTCTGCTGGCTGGCCCTTTCCCTCCATGCAGAAATGAGAGATTCCTGCCACCAACACATCCACAGCTCCAGCTTCCTTGAGGACCCTATGTCCTGGGCTTGTGTGCTCTCCGCACTCCCAGATTGGGACCTCAGACACTCACAGTCACTTCACTCACTCCCGCTGCTTGAAGAGAAGTCCAAAGCACCTACTGTTTACCACTGAGGATTATCTGTGAATGTTTTCTCAGTCTGCATAGGTCCTCCCCATCTGCCTGGGATGAGCTAGGGCCACTTCTGAGATCTCATTTCAAGACTGAACCCTTAAGCCCATTCCACAAATCTACAACCTGACAAACAGTGTAAATAGAAAACCAAGATCTTAACACTCATTCAACAAAGGGGAAACACGATTTCCATACAAAGGAACACTACCAAAAACCCAATTTAATATCTTTCTATTCCATAACAAAAGCAAGCAACATATTAACCAACACATTCGTCTCTGCAACCAATTGGTGCTCCTGCTTCAACACTACACCACCAATTGTCCATTCTCAAATGACCTTAAACATACAGGTAGCATTATATAGGTTCAAGTCCACCCTGGGCTACATGAAATTGTTCCAGGAAAGTGGAGACAGGAGTGGAATGACTGGGCCGCGAAAGGCACATAAGGTGGGAGAAGACAGGAGCTCAGTGCAGTCTGAGGCAGCAATCTGAAGCAGTCAGTCTAAGAAGCAGTGAGTCTGAGGAGGCCGGCTGAGGACAGGATTGCCCCTTTGGTCTGAGCACTAGTAGAGGTAAGAACGCTAGTGGCTGGCCGCCCTGCTTCTCTGATCCTTCAGGAAAGCCTTATTTGTTGCATCATAAACAAAATATCACCATAAGGACTGGTTTGTATTTATTGGAGTCATTGTCTAGTGAGGTCCCACAGACCTTCTAATGTTAAAAGTCTATTGTGATTGTTCTTGGCTACTCTCTAGAACTTGACGGTAATACCCTGACACTGAAGATATGACATACTTTAGTCACAGATATGGAGAAATGAAGTTGGCATGGACCTGGGAGTTTAAGCCCTACTGTTTTTCACAACACGTAAAGGAGTTATGCATTACTACCAGAGGAGAGAAGCTGCTATCAGTTTTGTCGAGATATGAACCAAAGAGCTACATTAACTATCTGTCCAGAATATAATAATGCCCTCAGGTGTAACAGTGCCCCAGCTAAGAACAGTCAACCACTTTCTGCTTGGATTCCTGGCATGCTCAACACCATAGAACACACATCTACCCATGAGTGGGGCTGAGAACCCAAGGCTTGACAGACCCTAGGCTCTGGGGAGAACCTGCTACTGGCACTGTGCCAACAGTCCACAGAATGCAGTCCTAAGTCCATTTCTGCAGCTCTGATCTCTTGCTTACTAGCAGCTGGAGCTGATCAATAGTCATACACACACACTCCATGACATTTTTCCTTTGAACAATTCTGTAATGTTTTATGTACTTGACCGCCGCCATGTTTTGTCCCTTTTATTTGTAAGTACGACCAAACGAAGCAGAAACAAAACTACAGTTTTACCTGTTGTCAGATGAGCACTTTCACGGATTTCTTTGGGTGGTGTGTATATCTACGCCTAGTCACTTTCTGATGATGAGTAGTAATTGAAGGCAATATAAAGGGAGAGGTAGAGCCGACTCCAGATTATCTAAAGAAAAAGAAGAAACAAGTATTAAATGTATAACTGGATTTCACTTCCTCATTAGTCACTAACTTTAATTTACCCAGTAATTCTGCAATCTTGTATAACTAGGATAATTAAATAAGCATGTGTGTATGCATGAAGAGACATGCTTGTCAATTGTATATATAATTGTCAAATATATATATATATATATATGTATATATATATATATATGAGGAACCAAACATGAAAAGTGGAAGACAAAGAAAATCAGCTTCTTTAAAATTAATAACAAATTATAGGGCCATGAGAAATAGCTCAGTGGATAGAATGCTTTCTGTGCCAGCAGGAGAAACTGAACTCAGCTCCCAGCACCCATGTAAACAGTCCAGCATATGATACTCTCTTATGATTCTTGAAGTTCTAGCAATAGCAATAAGACAACATAAGGAGATCAAGGGGATTCATATTGGAAAGGATGAAGTTGAACTTTCGTTATTTGCTGACGATATGATAGTTTACATAAGTGACCCCAAAAACTCTACCAAAGAACTCCTACAGCTGATAAACACCTTTAGTAACGTGGCAGGATACAAGATCAACTCCAAAAAATCAGTGGCCCTCCTATACACAAAGGATAAAGAAGCAGAGAGGGAAATCAGAGAAGCATCACCTTTCATGATAGCCACAAATAGCATAAAATATCTTGGGGTTACTCTAACCAAGGAAGTGAAAGACCTATTTGACAAAAACTTTAAGTCTTTGAAGAAAGAAATTGAGGAGGATACCAGAAAATGGAAAGATCTCCCATGTTCTTGGATTGGGAGAATCAACATAGTAAAAATGGCGATTCTAGCCCTAGGAAGTGGAGAAAGGAGGATCGCTGGGGTTTGCTGGCTAGCCAATATAGCTGAATGGATGAATTCCATATCCTAGTGAGACACTCTGCATCGAAAACAATGACAATGACTCCAGAAGAATAGCACTGGGGTTGGCCTCTGGTTCTCACCTAAATTCACACACAAATGCACATATACCTGGACATATTCGGACACATGACACAAGAAGTGATTACACGAGTTACTTACATCATGAAAAAAAGTTATTGACATTCATTAGCAACCACTCACATGTGTTTAAACAATTTGCTGCAAAATTGTGCGTATGTGTGTGCATGTGTGTGTATGAGTTTGTATATACAAGATTTACCAAAATACTTGTAAATATATATAAATAATGAACGGGTTTTCATACGGTAACACTTTGGGTAGCAAAGAAAAGTATTCTAAGGATCTGTTTCAGAATTTGAGCTTCCTAACCAGGTCTAAATATCTAATAAAACAAATATCTTCATTTAAGACATTAATCTCAGCATGGTTTTGAATATATATAATTCGGTATGCCAGATAATAGTGACCAGAGTAAGCACAAGAAAAAGGGAAAACTAGATTCTTTCAATTAAATGACCAATCACCTGCTTTGACTCTAGGGCTGCCTCTCATAAGGTTTTGAAAGAAGACATCATGACCATTGGGTCAAAGGTGCTTGTGTAATAGGATGAAGGATGCATGGAGACCAACAAAGAAAGAATCTTAAAGTCACTGACTGGATCTAAGAAACTGACAAGGAACGGAGCTAAAGGTTCACTCAGTGGGCATCCAGGGTCTTAGAAGAGTAGTTTATGTCACCTCTGGTCTTATTGGAATGCTTGCAAGTTGCCATAGCTTTCAAAAGCTGGTAAGTCACAAACTCCAGCCTCCCTCATTACCATTCCATGCCAGTGTAGGAAATCTTTATAACTTCCTTTTTCTCTGGCACAGTGAACGTCACTGGAGTTCAGGGCACAGCCTCAGAGGAAAGCCCGAGGCATCCCTGAAAGTTGGTTCTGACCCCAGACTGGAGTTAACTGCACTCATGTCTTACACACACCAGTTTAAAAGCAAGAATAAAAGGGACTCTGAGAAAATCTCATGATGTTACAAATTCTATCTGCTCACCAAAATTTCTATGGAATTTTACGGTGTACAATCTAACCGATCCATATTTTAGAAAAAGAAATCTACATCATAGGTACCTTTCAACAAATGGATTAATAATCAAGAAGCCCCAATTTGGTTGCCTCAATTAATCCAGTTATATATTTTTCTCTACTGATTTTGATCAATCACGGTCTAGTTTATAGACACACACACACACACAAAATATGAATTTATTGTTAATTTTGACCATGCATGATCAAGTTTTACAAAATTGTGTTTAATAAACAATTATTAAGACAACATGAATTTTTTATTTTAATTTTCTAAACTAAAAGTTTTGTGGATTTCTTCACTCCTCTGCACTACAAAACAATGCTAACTGTTATAGCTATCACAGGAGGACATATTTTCTAAAACTATTGCTATGAATGCCATATGCTTATTTTATGAATAAGTAGTGCTTTAATGATTCCATTACTTCTAGACATTCAATTATGTTTCGTAATCTACAGCCTCAGTCAATTCAAGGCTCTCTTGCTCCCCCACTACAGAATATCAGGACATTCCATTACAAACTGTGAAGAACCCTTCCTTTACCTTCCCAAACCTTAATCAGACAGTGTCATATTTAATCTTTAAAAATGAGGTCCTGAAATAATATACTCAGCAAATGAAGGCCCATGTAAGAGCAGGTAGGAGACTATTGGCTCCACTATAAATATGTTTTAGATTGAAGGAGGAACTCCTTGCCACACATACTCAACAATGGCCTATGTATCATCTAAGTAAATCAATATGTCCCATAAAGAGCAATCATGTGATCTTTATGTTCTCCACTTCTTCTTTCTTACACAAAACAATATAACAATGCCAAAGTAATTTATAGATTGTGTTTTAAGCTGAGGTACAGGCTCATCCAATTTAAAAACAGGAATTAAGTAGAACCAAATCTTTTTTCTTCCAACCTATAATTGAATCAAAATTGAAATCTAATTGTGTGTGTGGGAGGGGCTCCTCTACTCTTCCAAGTGGAGCTTCTTTTAAATCCTGTTGACTGATTTACTTTGACATCTAGAGGCCCTCAAAATATCAGATACAGAAAACATATTTTTAGAACCAAACTCTTGCTGTATTTAAAATGACTCCAAGTTCTAATTGATGTTAAGGGTCAAAAAGATTTCTTTGGAACTGGTACTTTAAGGAAAAATAATGTATATTATACTAATGCATAATAAACTGCAGAATTAGAAATGAACCATTCACAGCAGACAATCATCCTTGTTTATGATATGCTGTTAGACTCACATAGAGGGCAATTGCAGTTAGCTAAATGCTCATGTCCCAATCCCCATGAGCCATAAAGGTACCTTGTGCAGGAAAAGCATAAGAAGTTTCTTAAACCTTTGTCAGTATTAATGAGGTGAGGTCTGCTTGTGGTCACACTATCCTTAGACTAGAGAAACAGAGTTTAGAGAGACAGACACAGGGGCAGAAGGATGAAAGCAGAGCAGACACTGAAGAGACCACAGCATAGAACACCAAGCAATGAAAATGACCACCACAGCACCTGTCCACCTTACGGAGATGTGGAGCCAGCTGAGTTTTCCAGACCTCTTTGGGCAGTGCTCTCCTGGATGCTAGCCTTCATCAGTGTTAACATTGGGTTGGCATTGTTTTCAGTACAAGGTTTATACCAATGTTTGAAAACCTTGGTGGGGAATTCCCATGCTGGCATGGTAAATTGTTTCTAAATGCCAAAAACAGAGTGATTGCACTGTAACATTGTCTCTTATATGGATAATTACATAATCATGCAAAGATATTTGAAAACGCTTCTTAAGGACAGTGATCATAGAAACCCAAATTGCTTCATTCGTTGAGAAAAGCACTAATTTAATAATATTTTTTAAAAAAGTAATACAGCAGATCTGTTAGAATTGATGCGACAAATGATAAAAGTTCATCATAAACAGTAAACAAGGTTCTATCTTATTTTACTAAGTTTATTGCTATTTTCAACGTCTTAGTATTTTGCCTGCTTGTATATGTGTCATTGTATACATGAGGTGTTACTGGAGGCCAGAGAAAATTGAGGATCACCTGGAACTGCAGTTACAGACAGCCATGAGCCACCATGTAGATGTGGAAAACAAACCCAGGTCACATACAAGAGCAAGCACTCTTAACCGCTCAGTCTCACTCTGGGCAGCTTCTGTGTGTTTTAGTCTGTACTGCACTGGTGTTCCATTATGGTGCTCTGGCTGCGTGAATAATACCGCAGTAACAGGGTGAGAATGAAAGTTGCAGGCCATCCTGCCTCCTTGCCTTATCTTTGGGTCCTCTTTCTAAGGGAGTCTCCAAGAGGGAGCCTTGGTCAGCTCAAGCATGTAACTATTGGATCTGACAGAACTCAATTACTTTCCACCACCACCTTGAAACCGCATGGCTAACATGGTGAAGAAGATACCAATGGCCCCAGCCTGCACACACAGAATGCTGTGCACAGACGTCTGTCCTTTGGATGCACTCAAATTCCATAGATGATTGCTTGGAAATAAATATTTCTCCTCCAAATTCACTCCCTTCTCCTGAAAGAAAACTTCTTAACGACTCCTCAGAAGGAACAGTTCACATTGCCTCACCACCTGAATGGAAGTAGTCGTCTAAATCTGCCTTGGCAGGTAGGAAATCTTTCTCCTGTTAGACACCACTTTACAGATTAAGTTTATTTGTACGACCTAACATGGTGGCTCATGCCTGTAATCCCACACTCGGGAGGCTAACAAAGTTGAATCTCAAGTTTGAGCCAGTTTGGGTGTAAAAGCTTATCTCAAAGCCAAACAAAAATATGTCTTTTTTCCTATTAATTTATCTGTTGTAGGTCCATTAAAGAAAGTTTCTGGAGGAGCCCGGTGTTGTGGGAGCTTGTCCCATTTGGCCAATGACATTTGGAGGTGACTTGTCATGGGCTTGGCTTTCTCTGATACGTGACTGGATTAAGAACTGAGTTTGGGGGCGGAGGGGTGATGTCACACACTCTCTGGC